GATAGATAGATAGATAGATAGATAGATAGATAGATAGATAGATAGATAGATGAAAGTGTCTTGAGTGTGTATGTAAGTGTGAATGCATACTACATGCATACTAAGTGCATGCAGAGTTGTGAGTGTATGTGTAATGTCTGGATGGAAATGTATTTGTGGCTGTGCTAATTATCACTTTAGACTTTACCTCAGAGGGAATAAGACATCCAACAGCTGCTGCCCATTCTAAACCTACCGCACACATCCCATCTCTCCCTCTCTAAACTTAGGAGCGACTGACTACTCTGATTAGTAATAATCAGTGTCTGGCTGGGCTTGTATGAATAGCTGTGAGTCATAAACGTCTAAAGTTAGCGATTAGAGGAACACCACTGCTGAGAGACCATGGCAAACGCTGATCGCTGAACACCTAAAGCCTGAAGTCCAACCAAACGTAACACACATTCATGTTTCTTAAATGGTTAGTTCACACAAAAATTAAAATTCTGTCATTAATTACTCACCCTTGTGTTATTCGAATCCCGTAAGACCTTCGTTCATCTTCGGAAAACAATTTAAGATATTTTTGATGAAATCTGAGGGCTCTCTGACCCTCCCATAGACAGCAAGGTAACTACCACGTTCAAGGTCCAGAAAAGTACCAAGATGATCGACAAAGTAGTCCGTGTGACATCAGTGGTTCAACTGTAAAGTTACGAAGCTACGAGAATACCTTTTTGCGCAAAGAAAACTAAAATAATGACTTTATCGTGGCGCCGCCACACACTCGCGTCATGATACTGTCGTGAACGTGCGTCCAAAGTGACGCAGAAGAGACGAAAATGCGGAATAAAGTCGTTATTTTTGTTTTCTTTGTGCAAAGCTTCGTAACTTTACAGCTGAACCACTGATGTCACACGGACTACTTTGTCGAACATCTTGGTACTTTTCTGGACCTTGAACGTGGTAGTTACCTTGCTGTCTATGGGAGGGTCAGAGAGCTCTCAGATTTCATCAAAAATATCTTAAATCGTGTTCCGAAGATGAACGAAGGTCTTGTGGGTTTCGAACAACACGAGGGTGAGTAATTAATGAAAGAATTTTCATTTTTGGGTGAACTAACCCTTTAACTCTGTATAATTTAGTTTCTGAATGCATGCGTGTGAAAAACGGACCCTTGTATCTAAAGGCTTTGGCGTGGCTTTGTTGTGTTGAGTTAGGAGCAATAGGAAGACGAAAGGGAGCAAAGGTCACTTCCTGAGCACAGCCCACACACACACTTGACAAAACCAGCCAACAGAACAATACTGGCAACCGACCCATTAATAGCATTTATTCTCAGAGATGAACAGAAAAAAAGATTATAACAACACGCTGTTGATATGTTGAATATTCATGATATATTCGCAATGATTTTTCTGGTGATACAAAGTTAAGCAATGCCTAGATGTACAACAAAAAAGTGTTTTAAAACCTTAGTTTGAACTGATTCATAGAAATGAATCAACAGTTTAAATGAATCACTTCAACAATTTGTTTCATCACTCAAAAATGTGCACAAAAAGTCATATTAAAACAATCTGTGCAAGGAAATCTTGATGTTTATTACTAAGGATCGTCAAAGTGGGGTATATTAAAGAAAATACTGAAATTATGGCTCCTCTGATTGAAACGAAATAATAAATCATCCTTTTAAGCCATCTGAGGGCAAATACATAAATACATCGGCTCTAGTCTGAGACTCACCGTGAAAACATCATCATCACCCAGTTCGGCTTCATTCTGCAGCGTGGAGGAAGAAGTAGTGGAGCCTGGAGGGGGAAAAGGATTCATGTTATAATCTTAGTCAACTTGTTACACATTAAACAGTAAACCATTCTCATGTTCCTCACGGACCCACTCACCCTCTGTGAGGTCCTCGATGGCCTTCCTCACGCCGCGATCGAACGCTCGAGCATCAGCGGGGCTCTGGAACGACAGGCCACACTTCCTGTTGTCCACTCGCCAGTGATGGAAAGTGGGCGTGGCTTTAGTGTAGACCAGATCCTTCTTCAGAAAGCACTGCAGGATGACCTGATCAACACAAACACAATTATAAGGATTGAAGAATCAGGTTTTTGGAGACTCGCACACGTCGACAGCTCTCTAACCTGCTTGTCTTTGAGCCGCTCTCCAAAGATGAGAAAGCCGTTCCGTCCCAGGAGCTCCAGGTCAGCTGGGACCACCTTACAGACACCCACTCGACTGAGACCACCGCCCTCCTGAGCCAGCCAACCCCCGCTAGACTCATCCCTCGTCATCACCACAGCTTTCACTCGCACTATGTAACTGTCACTGCAGGGAGAGACACGAGGATGTTGTGATGTGGTTCAATGACAAATAAGAATGTCAGAGATGATTAAAAGAAGACGTCTAGTTTAAAACACATGTGGCGAGTTTTCAGAAAGTTACTCTTTGTGTTCATGTTGGTGTTTTTAAACCGCTTATGGTAAAGCTTTACAATAAGGTTCCATTTGTTAACTGCATGGGTTAATATGAACTAACAGAAAAATACTTCAAAAGGATTTATTACACAATACACTATAGACAATACACTAATAAATGCTTTATTTATATTACTCAATGTTAATTCCAACATTATTAAAATCAAAAGTATCTGTTAATATTATTTAATGTACCTGAGCTAACTTGAACTGACACTGAACACTATTTCAATTAATTAACATAAACATTGTAACAAAAGTTCTGCAGTCATTGTTAGTTAATGCATCGTCTAATGTTAACAGTAAAGTGTTACCCAAATTTCATTTTCTTAAGTTATATTTATGGCCTTTATTGTGAGAGGACAGTAGAGAGCTGACAGGAAAGCACTGGGAGGAGAGAAGGGAGTAAGATCAGCAAAAGACCTCAAAGTGGGATTCGAACTCGGGTCACCGTGAGCACAGTTGCACTATATGTTGCACACTAACCACAAGGCTATGGGCGCCGACCCCATTTTATTTTCAATATAAATTCAGAATTATTGACTATAAATGTCAAGTGGTGTAACCATCAAGCAAGAAATAAAAACATTTTCCTTACACCTTAAAAGAGTACATATCTAAATATTTGTAATAATATTAAAATTTTGTTAGAATAAAAAAATAGTTTTCTTGGGTTTTTGCATTTGAAACCATTTGAAACTAACTTGTCGTGTCATGAAAAGGTCAAAATGTCTGATATATTTTAAGATTATATACAGTATATATATATATATATATATATAT